AGATCTAGTCGAGTGTTTTGCTCTCAGTGAGGAGGAACAAGCAGTTTATCACATGCAGAGCGGAGAGTGCGGGTCGGGATGTCGGGTTGGACCAGGTCCTGGATGTAAGCTGGACCCCATCCATTCACAGCACGGTACGTGAGCACCATGTTTAGAGGACTTAGGAAGGTTAAAGAGCAGTGGAGCTGCTGCATTCTGGATGAGCTGCAGAGGTGGAATGGTGGTAGCAGGAGACCTGCAGGAGAGAGTTACAGTAGTCAGACTGACGACGCTTCATGAATTAGACCAATGAATAAAATGCATTTAGTGTCCACCAGGATACAGCCCTGATTCTGACACTATGTGATCAATAAAGACATGAGAATAGTGTGACACCGCTGTCATGTTGACACTAATCAATAGAATAACACCAATGCACAGCTATGATCGTGTTCAATTCAATGATGAAAACCCCAGTGACATTGAACGCACCATCCAGTGTGATACCTCATTGCACCACGATGCTCCTCTTAATGTAGTGATGAAGTGGTGATCCAGAGGTTCTACAGAGGTCTTCACCTCCTTCAGAGACTCATTTATTACATGTAGTAATAAAAACATCTGATCTTTTTATGGAGGTAAAAAGACGGAAGAGAAGCAGAGTTGTTGTTTGACACTAAACTCAAATCTCACTTTTAAACCTTCAAACGAGCTCAGAGAGGATTTGCTCCTCCGGTTCCCCGGAGTCTCGCAGCTTCCTCCTGCATCGTCTTCCTCGTGAGACATCAGAGACCACTTCCTGTCTTAGTTTGACCTTCAATGCTGTTTGTTCGTCCTTTTGTGTGATTGTTGAAATGGCAAAAATGTGTTTTTGATGCTTTGTGTTTGCAGAGGGCTTGTTCACATGTGACCATGACGTTCTCAGGAGAAGACAACCCTGTAGGTCCCAAGTCCGTCTCCTACGCAGTCAATCCATCAATCAATCAATCAGTCAGTCAATCAATCAATCAATCGCTCCATCCATCTCAATCTGTTGGTTTATAGCTGCTTTTAGCTGCTTGGACAATAAGAGCCTTGTGAATCTGTCCATTTCTTTTACTGCATTAAACAATAGAATGATTTCATTCAGGAAACCTTTAGTTTTTGCAGCCGCTGAGATCTCATGAAGAAACGTCACATTTCTTCCTGCGTTTTTACAGATGTTGATATTTCTGCGCTGCACACTGATGATGTCATAGTGACGTTTATTTAATCCATCACAAGCTCGTCCTCTTCTTCTTCTCCTCTTCTTCTTCTTAAGCGTCTTTGGGTACCAAGAAAAGTGCTATAAAAAGTAAAGTATTATTATTTCTCATGAACTTTGCTGCCTGATCATTTGATGATCAAAGTAATCAATCACACGCGTCCTGATTAACAGCACAAACTAATCGATTACCGGCAGAAAGGACTCTTGTTCTAATGACTTGTGACTTGTACGTAACGTATATTAATAATCTTTATTCAGATACGGATATCAGCTGTAGGTCACATTGTTAAAACTGTTTCCCCCCCAGGACCAAACATGAGGACGCTTTCACCAACAGCACCTTCATTTTATTGTTTTAGTACCAAATGTTCATTGTGTGAAGTGAGGAATAATGGAAGAATGAAGCAGATCTTTTCTCCAGCTCTCTGATACATGGAGCATATGTCTTAGTTTCTTAGTTAAATATTATATAAGTGATGCATGAAAGGAAAAGGGTGAGAACGTGAACGTTTGAAGCTGTGAAGATTATCTGATGAATAAAACCTGTAAGATTGTGTCACGTTCCAATTAATGAGAAGCAGCCAATCGTGACGCAGCAAAGTCCCAGCTAGAGGAGGACACGCAAACCCGTGAAGCGTTCCTCATTGTCTTTAGTTATTAATTATGATTTTCTATGGTTATTAAACCATTAAAGACGTTGTGACTTGTGGTGAAACGGCGCCACCGCGGCCGCTGTCGGTACTGCAGCAGCAGAGCGGCGTCTCCCTGTGAGTTAAAGTCTTTATTAAACCTGTCCAACCTCAACGGACACCACTGTCCTCTGAATAATGAACATGTCTGTCCTCATCCCTTCTTAATGAGAGTCTCTGTCCTCTCCACCAGACCTCCTTGTAGAAACATCTCGTTTTAGCAGCTCCGTTCACCGGAATATGGAGGAGAAACACACAGAAACGGAAGCGAAAAGACTCCGAAGGCTCGTGTTGCTGTAAACGTCTTCCGGATGTAAGTTAGTTCAACGTGAGAGCCGATAAACCGCTACGGTCTCCTGATGAGACAACATGTCCAAAGGGCTCAGAGTGGGATTGTTATCAGACACGTTGGTTCTTCAGGTGATTCCGTGTTGCCGAATAACAGATGAGCTCCGCGTGGTTCACAAAGGCTCTTCTACTTGATGTTAGTGGTGATGTTTGGGCCGGTTAGGCAGCAGCGTTTGTTTAATTCAACCCTTTCTGAACAGAGTTCTGCAGCACACGTCACCGTCAGGCTGAGCGCTTATAAGCAGCTGCTTGGTTTGCCCACGTGGGGGCGCTGTGGCCCACGTGGTCACCGGTTAGTTCTGTGACGTCACATAAGTGCGTTTTAAGTGTTTAAAAGACACTAGAACACAACACACTGAACTAAACCAGAGACGTGTGTGGGACAACGTCCTGTAAGAGGACAACGAGGGAACTCGTGTTGATGTCCAGCAAGGGGACGTTGTCCCTCCAGATGTTAGTCCATCGTGTCCAGAGGCGCTGACGTTCTCAGTGAACTACAAGCAGGAAGTGAACTAATCCCACATGTGCTGCTGCTCGATGACTGAACCCGTTGTTGTGAACAAGAAGAGGCTCTTTAGTCACCAAAGAACAACAGTTACTTCATTATCGTGGCTCCACTGACCTGTGATTGACAGGTGACATCACGTCTCTACCTGAGTTAAGACAATGACGTCACTACAAGGCTCACCGCTACTTGAGCTTCTCTGCATGGCCTCAGCGCGCTGCATCGTGCCGCCTTCATTCACGTGTCATTCAACATGATTGACAGCTGTATGAACAGCAGCTGAGGGGCGCGGAGACGTTCCTGCAGCAGGAAGAACGGAGAGAACTCAGAGCACCAGTAAAGGTCTTCAGGGAGCCCCGGTGGTGGAGCTCAGTGGTTCCATTAGCGCCTCGGTCCAGGGGAAGCTTCAGGAGAACGGCTGGTCATGGACGGGTAATAAGCAGCAACAGAAACATACGAGAAGACTGTCCACAGCTGCATCATGAGGGACCTCTGTCCTCGTGTCCCCTGTTGACTGGACGACACGTGGAAGCAGCTGAAGGTCCTGATCTCCACGCTGCTCGTATTAACCTCCCAACGTGGGGCCCTTTCTCAACGACAGGACGCAGAGGACGGACTTGCGTTCTGGGGAGAACAGACTCGGGGGTCCTGACTCACGGGGACAACAGAGGACGCTCATTTCATGGGACAGCAGCTGCCTCGATGACGTCAGCTGCTCTGAAACATTTGAATACGCTTCTTGACTGTCGGGTGTTGAACTATCACGCTTTTGTTTGCTTCTCATTTCAAATAGAAACGCTGTGTGTGACGGAGCAGCAGAGGAAACTAATTCACAGTAAATATAAATATCAGACATGAAAGTGTCTCAATGGAGCAGATCAGAGTTGTTAGAGCCTCGAGGGGCGAAGAGCAAAGAGGAAAAGGGCGGCGTTGACCCTGAACACCCGTCCACAGCAGCACAGAGAGAACGGCCCCCCCCCACCCACTGAGGGACACCGTGCACATCAGGAGCCCAACGACACGACCAACGTCCAACAAACAGGCGTTTAAAAAGGGCGGCAGTGCTACTTTCTGCACGGACGCTTCAGCTTCACCATTGGTGAGATGCTCTGTGTTTCAGTGTGTGTGTGTTACTCAGCTTCATTGTGTTCTATTTGTAGCCGTTTACCTGCTTCATCTTCCTCCGTCTGGATGTAGCGTGTCCTTCAAGACAAACACACAAAGTGAAACTATGTCTTTGTGATGACGGCTTTAAAGCAACATTTAGTGACTTCGATGAAACGTCTCACTGTCTCTTGACTGTAGAACACGAGACATAATCTACACGTCCACAAGGAGACACGTCCTGGCTCGACTGCTTTCTGTCCCAACATGTTTTACTGCTCATCAGTAGCTGAAACATGCCTCTGAAACAGCTAATAGGATGTTTAGATCAGACGGTTTGATTGTCAGCGTGTCACTGGCAGTGATTGACAGCTGTGTTGGAGACTCCAGGCTCTGATTGGTGGCTTTCCTTTGGGCGCAGTGAAACGTGCCAAAGGCCATTAGGAGCACTAAGCGCAGGCCGAGCATCCTGATCAGCATCACTTTTGCCTTGTTGACAAGTCGTCTTTTCCTCCTGCAACCAGCTGACAGCAGCTCCAAGAGGAAACGCTTCCCCACTTTGTGTCTCCTTGTTTGTCCCCGATGGCACGGCCGCAGTAGGAACTGCTCCAGGAGACATCGGGATGGACTGAAGTCCACAGCCGGCCTCATCACAGCCGACGTAGCCCGGCCCACTGTGAAGAGGGCGTAGTTACTGTCTGATGGAGTCCATGTGATGAGTACGGAGAACAGCACACAGGGTCGTGTTCACAGGCTGCTGTCTCCACGGCAACCAGGAGACTGGGAGGTGACGTCATGTCGACTGGTGTGTCGTCAGTTGTTGGGCAACGGAGCTCAGGGAGTCATTGTCACTAATGAAGAGGCTGCTTCTTGATGTCCTCCTTCACTTCCTGATTCCAGCTGCACCCCCATGACGCACGCACACACACACACACACACACACACACACACACACACACACACACACACACTGATCCTCTGACCAGTGGCTCTGGGTTGGGAAGGTCAGGTGTTATGTTTCCTTTTACTGATTCTATTCTTGTTCTTATCACCTGGTTGGAAACACGTTTCACACACAAGCAAGTTTACTTCCACGAGCGGCTGAACAACACAAACAAAACGTGGGGCTGCAGGTTGGCGTCTGTGACCAAACACAGGTTGGGTACAAGTATCCTGGGAATGAACGAGGTCACTAAAGTGGACGTGACTTTAGAGACGAATGTCCCCACACTGTACCAGGTGGACCAGGAGAGTAAGCACAGTGTGTGTCCCCAGCACCGCGCTGTCATTGGACAGTAGAAGTCATGCTTATTGGACCCAAATGACCAGTAAGAATGTCAAAGGACAGAAATTCTCCTTCTTTTGTCCAGTTGCCAACGAGGCGGCGCCGAGCTCCCGCTTTCCACCGGCCCACTTGGCACGTGAGTTCATCCAACTTGTGTTTCAAACAGTGACCTCTGTAATGCAGGTAAATACCGTGTGACGGGGGCTTCTGTCCACACGTGAGGGGCACATGCACATGTGACCCGCCATGAATACGTCCCCTGCAGAAGGGGACACTGAGCCGGCTGTCAGTCCAAACAGTCGCACAACTGGAGGCAACAACAAGTCGGCCAGAAAACTCTACTGATTCTGTTCAGACTTCATTCTTTAACTATCCCCACTTTCTTTGTGCAGCATCAGGATTTGCTCCTCTGACGTGTGTGTTTTCCAGCAGTGGGTCTAAGCCTCCTTTGTAGTTGACACATCTTTTTCCTTCAACTGTGTTCACTCCTCCGTGTCCATTCAAACACGTCCTCGTCTCTCCGTCTTACGGCGTCAATGACTTTTGTCCCTGATGGATTAAAACATGGACGCTGCGCACGTGGAAATGCTAGCAGGCGCTTTTGTGTCCATCGTTCAGGCTCACGGTCCCAGAATGCACTGCGCACTGCCGTCCCAGCGGCTGTTGGCATCACTGAATACAAAGGAGTTCAGAATGAAGAGATCCTGAAGGATGAGCTGCCGGTCCTTGGTGCCCCGGACACCATGGAGAAGACTGCCAGCAGGTCTCACACACACACACACACACACACACACACACACACAGCGGCCTTTGCTTCATGTAAATGTATCATTCACATGCCAAATGAAGCTGTGATGAAGGGAAACGTGGAAGAGGAGCTTTGCTTGCTGCCTTTGCTAAACAGATGGTGTCCTTTACTTTAGGTTTTACTCGCCACACATAGAACAGGCTTTACACTTCCTGTCATGGCGTTCTAGCCAAGTGTTTAGAATGTGCTTTGAGACGGGACTTCAACCCACAATCTACGTCCACTGAGTGAGACAGAACCCAGTTAGAAAAGAGCGCTGCAGCTTTCTTTGCAGTGACATTAACTGTGAAACTGCTGATTTGACTTTGACATTACCAACTGCACTGCCATGTAATATGGGCGCACGTGTTATACAGCCCAGATTGTGCTAATCACTCCCAAACCATCTGTGGGAGATATATTCTATCTACAGATTGTACAGCTCCCCAATCCAGCGTTTGGGACGGTCTGAATGGAGGGCAGATGCTGCTGGGCCTCTATGTGTTGCAGGTCGCGCTGTCTTGTGAAGCAGCTGGAAAGGGTGGAGGCATCTGTGGTGGAGCTGAAGAGAAACCTGGACTACGCCGCCTCAGTCCTAGAAGCTCTGTGCATTGAGGAAGCCAGGCGAGAGATTTCACTTCTGCTTTTCTCAAATAATCCATGAACATGAAGAAAAAGGGATTTTAAAATGATTTTCTTGAATTCTTTCACGATCGGCAGCTAAATAGACCTTTGAGCAGAGGTGGAGGAGCACGTAGAGAAATGGCCAAACGCAAACGTTTGTCCTAAAAAACCAACCTGTGGAGCAGAGGAGTCCACAAAAGGTACAACAATCCAAAGAATCCAAGGGGAAACATTGAAGTGTAAAAGCAGAAAGCAGGTGAGGTTCAGGTTAACACATCATCCTCATGCACGCAGGACTTTATGGACACAAAGGGTTTCTTCCCGTCGGCAGTCGGCTCATCAACAGAGCGCGGCTCCCCCAGCGTTTTAATGGCACACGGTACTGGGCCATTCCAGTAGCACGGTGGCTTCCTCACTCATTTATAAATCACAACGGGATCATTTACCCACAAGCTACGTTGCCTTAAGCATTTTCAAGCTAAAGTAAAGCACTCTAAATATCTTAAGACTATATTAACTGCAATACCCCGTAAATTGGTGAAAGGCAATTAAATATTGTATGTTAGTAAGTAAGATCGTCCATGGATGATAAATAAATTACAATTACATTATCATTCATTCATATTATTTTACTACTAATTAGTATTTAAATGATTCCATTAAGTCTGTGTGTATGTTTTAGTAATATATTTAATTTAACGAGTAACTCGTGGCTCAATACGGTTTCCAAGTTTCTAACCCAGAATTGTTTAAATTCTTGCTGCACAATGTTGCGAGCCTTATTCCTTATAGGACAGTGGGACCCTGAACATGAATACAGGAGACCAGCAGGCAGTTACTAGTTAGTTACACAAAATGTGTCCGACCTGAAGGTAAACCAGTAGTCAACTCTCGTCTTGTGGAAGTTGTAACAAAATGACGGCAGGACGTTTCAGTTAAATGTGAATGTGTCTGAACGCTGGTAAATACGCGTCACATCAGCCACGTGGTCAACGTGTGACACAATCGGCTGGACTCGTCTCACTTACATACAAGATGGATACAATTGAGTATCGTCTGCATCGTCATCAAGGTTTCACCGTTTCCAAACACAAACTGGGATCGATCTGATAAATACGACATAAACCAGCTGAATGTGGTTCCATTTGTGTGGAATATTGCTATATTTCTTCAGCAGTAACATATAAACTGATCTCAACACACAAATCCATAGATTTTGCAGGTGCAGGATAACAAAAGAAGCTAGAATTCAATAACGAGTTCCCAGTTGTTAAATTCTATATCAGTACAAAGTCCTCCAGACTAAATTGTAACTGGTGTTTTTATGTTTTCCTATCGATGGTACCTTAACAAAGGAATCCTAGAAATGAACAGTTGAACCGTTATGTGGACATTCGCGTGCTAATAAAGCTTCTGTGTGTCTTTTCTAGCATGTGGACATGTGGTCCTTTGATGTGTTTGCACTGAACGATGCTAGTGGGGACCACGCTCTGAAATTTGTCTCCTATGAGCTATTCACCAGATATGACTTGATCAACCGTTTCAAGGTATGTTCATTTTGACAAGACGCTGTGTATGTAATGAGCACAATGTCAGTGACAGCAGAACTAAGTATTGATGGGAACGTACTGGGTTCAACAGAACAACTTCTCTGTATTGCTTCTACAATTCTGCAAAGCAACTGGTTGTTCCTTGTCTGTTGAAGGTCCCTGTTTGTGTCCTCATATCCTTCGTGGACTCGTTGGAAGTGGGCTACAGCAAACACAAGAATCCCTTTCACAACCTGACGCATGCGGCTGATGTCACACAGACCATTCATTACCTGCTCCTCAAGACCGGCATGGTGGTACGTTCAGGGTTGGGTAAAAGCACAATGCAATACGCTTTTCAAAAGTGCCTGCAGACTTCCTCAGTGGATCTTACAAGTCACTCATCACAGCTTTCCTACATCAAAATCCAATCGGGACGGGATGAATGATGACTGACAGGTAGATAATAATGATGCAATAGCAAAGTTAGCGTTGTCTCTGACTGTAAATGGATGAAAGGCTGCATGTCTTTCAGACCTTGGACTCAAGCAGAGTAGTGCTCATTCCGTCCCGGTCTTGGACCAGTGGACCAGCTCTTTACCCTCCCGAGACTACTGAGGGGGTCCTGGCAGTTTGCCCAACCAGTCTACATGTGCTTTGTGGAAGGAGAAGGCTTTTGACTCTCCAGTTGGTGACTTTCCTGGACAGGATATCTAGGCGCACCCGGGGGTGGAGGACCTCGGGTCGGGGGTCTCCATCTCCTCTCTGCTGGTGCTGATGTGATGTTGTCCTGTTGGCCTCCTCGCACAGTGACCTCCAGCACTCAGTGAGGCACTTTGCACCAGATCCTCTTGGTGAAGAGCTCTATTTGCTTTCATTTGAGTTGAGGTGCTACTGGAAAACAACCGAGGTGGTTCAGGCACACTGACAACTGGCAAAGAGACTCTGTGCTGGTTCACTTCCAGCAGGAGAACCGCACAACGTTAAGCAGGACGGTTTTTAATCTTCATCTCCCGATTGACACGTTCCTCCTCGTCTGTCTGCCTCTCTCCTTCAGCACTGGCTCAGTGAGTTGGAGATCTTTGCCATCATTTTTGCAGCTGCCATTCATGACTACGAGCACACAGGGACCACCAATAACTTCCATATTCAGACAAGGTAATTCCCACGTAGCATCGTTTGTAGCATTTCAATCCCTGCAGTCTCTGAGGACAGTGGACAACACTGGAGCATGAAGAGAGATCTAACAGGTGACCTAATAAAAAGCCTACTATGAATGATAGCAGCTTTACCTCATACATTGTTGGCATTATCACGATGACGGTGAGGGAGATCATTCCTGAAGTAGCCGTGTCGCATTCGCAGGTCAGACACCGCCATGTTGTACAATGACCGAGCGGTTCTGGAGAACTACCACGTCAGTGCTGCATATCGCCTTCTACGGCACAGTGATGACATGAACATTCTGTCTAATCTCTCCAAAGACGAGTGGAGGTAAGAGAAGAGCGCTGCAGCTGAAGGGACGTCCTTTTTTACCGCTGTTTCCATTCAATGACTTCAAATAATAATTCACTGTACAATACAACCCTCAGATTACAGTGCAAGTCATTGCTTCTAAAATACTGCCTCCTACTGGTGCTTAGAGGGAGCTACAGCTGATGATAACAGGGAGTAACACGTCACTTTATTTTACAGTCAAGCAGAATCAAATGACTCATTTTAGGGACAAGTTGAGTAGTTTGGGGCAGAGTTGCATCGATCTGGCACTGCATTGCTGCAGAAATATAGAAGTGACAGCAACAGGATGAAAGCATCTCAGTCTCCTCTGATTAAACTTTCCCCAAGCTTCATCTAAGATTCATTCTGTAGGGAGCATGAATGTTTTACTG